GCATCCACATGGTTCACCTCCGGAGTAATCAGTAGAGAAAAGCACGAATCATCGGAATCATCGCCTTTCGCAATGTTCACCTCATTGGCCTTCGGGCCCTTTTTCTTGCCATTCTCTTTCTCCTTGAGCTTCGGGCAGTCTCTCTTCCAATGTCCCTGCTCCTTGCAGAATGCACATTGGTTCTTTGTTAGTTGGTGACGGCCTCTAGACTTTGACCTCCCTCTGTTACCACCTTTCGGATATGGGCTTCTACCTCTCGTCGACAAGGCCTCTCCTGAAGTACTAGCGCGGGAAGTCTCCTTATCCTTCCTCCTCAAATCGTAATTTGTCAAAGCGTTAGTCACTTCACTATAGCTGATAGAAGATCTCCCGTTCAACAAAGTGAGCACGAAGGTATCATACTCCTCATCCGGTAAGGAGCCCAACAAAATAATCGCCTTGTACTCATCCGATATCTTCTCATCAACATTCGCCAAGTCCGACAACAACTTCGTATAGTTGTTCACATGAGCCGCAAGCGAGGTGCCTCTGGACATCTGGAATCTGAATAACCTACGCAGCAAGTGCAATCGGTTCTCAACACTCTTCGTAAGGTACTTATTGTTGAGAATTTCCCACATCTTCATCGCAGACGTCACCCCAATCACATCATACTTCAGCTCCTGTTCCAAACAGGACCTGATCACCCCACAAGCGTTCCTATTCATTTTCTCTCATACCGCCTCTTCATATTTAGGTGGCCTTTCGTGGACCATGATGGTCTCTTCCAAATTCTGAGCATTTAACGCATCCTGTACGTCGCTCATCCACAAACCAAAGTTGATTTTTCCGTCATATTTCACCACACTTATTTTGGTATTTTGAAAACCAACTTGTATTGTACCCGCCATCGATTTGCTGCTTTCACCTTCTTCTCCCATTGCGAACTAACTCCAAATTGTAGAGAAAGAACAAATTTGATAGAATTAGGAACCACCCAACTGAACCCTAGATCGGATTCCAAATAGATCTCCTATCCACACGAGGAAAGCGAAATCTTCAACGGCAACTCCTAATGCTATCTCCACCGAAGCCGAGAACTCCAAGAACCAAGCTTCACACAAAATCTTCCTCCACCAAAAAACCCTAGATCTGAAATCTGGGCTCTGATACCACTTGTTGCGCGCAGCGGAAATTTCGGCAGCACTTCGGCAACACAACAAGAGAGTCAGGTCGCAATAAGACTTCTTGTTTCTCAAAGGAAAAAAGAATCTGAAGCCTATATCCTATCCAAGTAGGATATTAGCTCTTCCTCTCGTCAGCTCTAGGACTGCGCGTCGAGGGACCCTAAAAGCTATTACAAATCACACAAAAGCAGTACAACCAATTTTAACGTGGTTCGGCAAATTGCCTACGTCCACGGGGCAAGGAGGGGGGAGATCTACTAATAGAGGGAGAGAATACAACTAGGGTTTACAAAAGAATCTCACAAATAAAACCCTCGCGGTTTCACATAAAAAAGTCTTGAGTTTAGAGTTCATATTGTAATTGTATCTCTTAAAAGTTCTATATGTATTTTTTAAATGTTGCATTATACATTAATTAGAAAATATACCTCTTGAGTTAAGTTCCAAATTATTGCATTTTACACCTAAGTTTTCTTAATGTTTCTTACAGCCATTGCTCTTAACTTTCAGACCTTGACTCCTAAATATAAGTAGAATATAGCTAATTCTATCTGACAAAATTTACTTTTTTTTATTTTTTCAGGATTGAGAAATTAAGTCTTTTAGATTTGCAGTTTGAGGCGATCTCTTTATTTTGAACCATCACAGGTACTAAATTTATTTTTATTTTTATTTTCTTTTATTATTTTCCATACATTTGTTTCTATCATAATTATTGCAGTTAAATTATATATTTGTGTTGTTGTTGTTGTTGTTTTTGTAATAATCCATCATTGTAGTTTCATCCAGTAATGTACTTGTTTTTTTTATGTTTTAATTAATGTTTTTTTTATGTGATCGATATGTCTTCTATGGCCTCGTTTGGTAGGCGGGAATGAGGTGGAATGGAATGACATTCTCACTTCTCATTCCTTTATACCAAACAAACCAACTTTTTAGATGTTGGAATGACCATTCCCAGGGAATGACCATTCTCACTTTTTGTGGGAATGGGCATTCCAAGTGAGAAGATAGGGAATGGTCATTCCCATTCAAGAGAGAATCAAATCAGTTATTTATTTTTTAATTATACCCCTATTAATCAACTGATTTCCACATTAGTAATTCTGACATCCTTTTCATATGCAATATGCATCAACTGTGGATATCATTCTTTATATTTTTTTTGGACCTATGAAAGATGCGATAATCTTTTATTTATTTTTCTTTAATTTTTTAAGACTAAGAAATAGTGAGTATTGTTTAAAAAATATAAATAGAACATACACTTGAGAGATAACATGCGCAATAGTATAACATGCACAGAAATTAGTATAACATATGCATAAATAAAATTGTTTAGTTATTATCATTAATGTTTATTTTTATCTTATTAAAAATATATGTTGTTGTAAGAACATTATTAGAAAATGCGATTCCATTCTCACTTGTGGACAAGTGATACCAAACATGGGAATGAGAACGAGATTTTCATTCTAGCCTCATTCTACAAAAGTACCCAAACATGAGAATGGGAATGACCATTCCATTCCCACATACAATCCATTCCATTCTTTCTTCCATTCCATTCTCACTTATGTCCATTCTCGCGTACCAAACGAGGCGTATGAGTATTTAGAATGTCATCTTTTGGGTCTCATTCAACAATGACCCAAAAAGTTACACTGTTTTTACACATAACCCCATTTAATTCAAAGTCACAAAGGGATGAAAATTTGTGAATTATCTATAATTAAGTTAATTTATATGTTATTTCAATAGTAGTTCTTTAAGTCCTTTATATTTTAAAGTTGGTGTTTGAAATCATTGAAATTACTATTTAGGTCTCCTATTTCTTGTGTTGCTTTTAGAATAAGTACCTCATATCATTGAAATTGCTATTAAATCGCATGTCTATTAAATTATTCAAACTAAGTGACTCAAAGCAAGAGTAGAAGTAACAATTTAAGGGATTATAACTTGAAATAGTTATGAGAGTTGGGGGGACTTGATTGTAATCTCAATTATTTGAGGAACTGGTTTTGAATATGAATATATATAAATAGCAATTTCGATAATTTGGGTCACTAATTTAAAAATATGAAAGATTTAAGGTATCGATATCGGAAAACCCCTTATTCACAGTATATTCACACAATCACCTTAACATCGTTGTTGTTGATGTTAAAAGTTAAGTAGTGGGATTTATGGTGGATTTTGGAGAATTTAGGGTCCTTTAATCTCCTTTAACTGCTGATTGCTAAGTGGAAGAGAGTCTTGTATATATGCAATACGTTAGAGAACTAGAGTTGGGTTTTTCGATGACTCCGCCGATGATCAAGTTAGTTGTGATCTAAAGTAGAGAAAAATGATTTAGTTCTCTTAAGTGTGAGGAATTTTTCATACCTTCATGCAGTAGGCAACATGTCTATTTATATTAGATCTAGAAGGGTATTTTTGTAATTTTACCACAATCCAAGCATTCAGCTTAATCAGCTGATATTTTACAAGTGTTGGCAGCAGGTAGTCCAAATCACCCTTGTATTTATTGTGACAGTAACAGAGGGGTTGCGGCGCTGGCACAATCCGATTAGTCATTATGACTCCAGGAGAGATGTAATGATGGCTTTGACTATGTTTATTAATGTGATAGTGACCGGCTATTGTTGCTAGATTTGAGAAGGAGTGCATTTCGTCTTGATCCTTCAAGAGATGTCGAGTGAAGACGCCTCTTGACTCAGTTTGCTGAGCGAGGATGCCTCGGATATCTAAGAAGGTTTGAGTGAGGACGTCTTTCGAGTCGGCTTTCTGAATGATGAGAAGTGAAGACGTCTTTCGAGCTGGCCTTTATAAGACTTGGGTCAGGTTGATGTCCAGTTGATCCATACGTGTGTCGCTTTCTAGAGTAAGATTTACACTTAGCGATTTCTATGATATAACAATTGTACCTGTATTTTTTGCAAAATAAATGTTAAGTGTTCATGTTTAACATTATTGCATTTTGATATATTTTGATCTTCTCTAGTTTATTCATTTCGTATGAAAATTTTGGGTTAAATGATGTCAATTTTAATTATAGCATTATATAATTTGAACATTATTATAAAATCCAAACAGGGATATATTTTTTAACCTCAATCAGAGAGGTTTTTCGTGCTTTAGAAAGGGATGCATGTCACTCAATTTTTTATATTCTATTAGGAAACAAGTGATTGGAACACGATAGAATATCGGTGAATTGCGATAAAACCGTGCTTAGCACGTAATAAAGTACTAGTAATGAATTAAAAGGATATCAATTCTTGTGCCGTTAAACTTTGTAACTTTTTACGTGAATCCAAGGATTGATGCCTCTTAGCTCATACGATTTCACTTCAGTCTCCCCACAACAACAAAAGACAAATTGATTGACATTTAATAAGATGAAGGATCTTACAACTAAGATGAAGACAAGGGTAGGTGTTGATTAGGTAATAGCGTCATGGACCTGGAGGATCGAAATTTATATTTTATGGGAATATATTTTAAGGATAATAGCTCACAAAGAATACTACCTGGTAAGATGATCTTTTTTTGAAAAACTTCTTCTTTGCTTAGATTAGATAATAACTTCCTCATTCTAACCGTTTTAACTATCTTTGCTAGAAAAATCGTTCAAAAAATTCTATAAAAACTTCTAATGAATTCATCACAATTTTGTTAAATTTAAAATGGATTTTGCAGGAAAACGTAAACTTTTTTTTTAACATCAAATGAGCGAACTAAAGAAATAGTTTTGACGTAAGTCTAGCATTGGACAGGTTCAACTTCTTTGCCATCAACAATCATACCCGAACTAGTGGCATTTGGACATAATTCAATCTCGGCTGCTAAATAATATTTAAAACACTCTCTCGTTATCAATCTCCTCCATCACTAGTTTGTAAGCCACAAGAATCACTAGTAAATATGCTCACCGACATAGTAAGCAACATGAAAGCATCAAAATGCCAAAACTGACTTACGTTTCCTATATTTGGGAAGTGTAGAGGAATATTAATTACAACTTTGACAAATTAAACTTTCTTCAGCTATCAAAATCTGCAGTAGTCATATATAATCGAAAGCACAACTCCTTGATTCATAGGGGGAAAAGACCCCAAAAAAGGCATTGCACTAGTACAGCCATGAGGATATTTATGAGCCAGCGATCAGCGCGAGAACTGCAAAACAATTAATACCCAAGTTAACGAATGGCCGTATCCGTAATAAAAACATTAATATAACGACATGGTATAAGAGAGTTTTAAGTACATAAATCATGAATTGCTCCTCAAACAAATTGTGATATAAAAACCTTAACGAATCTCATTCCCTCCTCTGAAGTCCGAAGATGATTACGGCATGAATATAAAGGTTTAACTCTCCTCGCTCCTCGCAAGAGCGGAGTTTGAAGAGAGGATATATCTAACCATCTCCATTTGCCACTTGAGGACTGAAAGGTCCAACAAGACCCAATCTTTCTCACTTGTATCACTGTCAAAGAATCACTATCAAAATCCCTATATGTATACATATGCACATGTATATGCATACATATGTATATGTATACATATATACACACAAACATACATACACACACAAAAGAGGGGCAGAACAATAAGGGTGAGGGGACACCAGATTAACATGTACACTACTATGAAGTTAATAGCAATTGGTTTAAGACAAACTTAGTTATTAAGTGGACTTGCGCAGCCACAATTATATTTAAGTCCACATATCCATACATATACTCAGCTTATCATTATCTTTTTAATGTCTGATCCAGGCAAGGACAAAGGAAAAAGTGTGTATGTGCATAGGTGTGTGATCAGTGGCGGATCTAGGATTTCTAGAAAGTGCTGTCACTATGTAATTAATACAATTATAGAACTTATAACTGTTGGTGTCGAGTTTTCATATTTTGAAAAAAATTACATATATGCATAATCATTAGTAACATTGTCAAATACGATTCTCTCAATTAGTGGCTACACAATTAGTGGGGCAACATAAGATTTTAGTGGGGTCAACTAACATTTCAGTGGTGAGTTTTTCGGTGTGAATGGTTTTTAAAGTGCATGTGTATCATAGTATGTTAGACATTGTTAGGCAAACATGTGGAGCAAAGTGGGGTCACTGGACCCTACTTTACTCCATGTAGATCCGGCTACGTGCGTGATGGGTATGAAGTAGTGGTTCATTTTGCTAAATGAGCACTAAAGAGGTGTGTACCAATGGTGAAAGTGCTAACCAGTGTTATCGAGGCTCAAGGTGCAAAGCGGGGTGCAAAGCGGGGCACAAAGCCTCCTTATGTGCACCATGCGCAAGGTTACTGCGATGCGCGCGCCTGACTAAAGCGATGTGCGCACCTGAAACAGATCTTTCCCAACATATGATATACAAGTATGAAATATGATTGTTCATAATTTACGAGTTAGTACTGTTAATTGCTAGTTAGCATGAACTTGTTTGAAGTTATAATTCAGAGAGACACTCAAGTAGATGTTTGAGATCTTTCATCTATATATGAACAATTTTTTCCATAATATCATTGTTACTTTAACTGACTTTAAAGTTGCACACTTATACTAAGTCACTAATTACTTTTTTTCTTTTTATAGGTTAAAGATGAAGAGATGGATAATAAAGTAGCAAGAATCAATCAAATATCTCAATTCTCAAACTTTGTAGAAATAAAACATCAAAAAAGAGTAAACTAGATGCCTAGAACATCAAAAAGAGTCTATTAGATGTATTAAACATGTGTAAAGAAACTCCCAAGTACTCATTATCAATCAATGGTTCACTACATGGATATTTCCAAGGTGCAAGAGGACTTAGACAAGGAGATCCATTATCTCCCTACCTGTTTGTAATTGGAATGGAGTATCTATCAAGGAGACTGGACTTTCTTAAAGAAGACAGATTATTTAGATTTCATCCCAAATGCTCAAGAATGAAGATTACTCATCTACTATTTGCAGATGACCTTCTGTTATTTTGCAAGGCTGACATGAACTCAGTTTCAAGATTAAATGACTGTCTTAAGGAATTCAGCCAAGTCTCTGGTCTGGAACCAAACTCTGCCAAATGCTCATTATATATGAGTGGTATTGATGATGATTTGAAAGCTCAGATAAGTTCCTATCTCAACTTCCCAGAAGGTGTTCTCCCTATAAGATATTTGGGGGTTCCTCTTATCTCAAAGAGGCTCTCATGGCTGGATTGTTCTCCACTAATAAATAAAATTTCAGAACACTTTCAAAACTGGCAAAATAGAAGAACTCTGTCCTATGCAGGCAGATTGCAATTGATAAAGTCAGTTATTCTAGGAATTCAGATTTTCTGGACAAGTAATTCTTCAAATGGGCTCCCAATGGTATACTAACTGGCTTCGTATCCATGCTAACATGGAATCGCTGTAGAACATTCTTCAAATAAGCCATCTGTGTCAAACAAATTCTGTCCTTCTTCTTGTCTCTGCCGATCTCCATCCCTAGAATGCGCTTCGCCTCATTCTAGGAATTCAGATTTTCTGGACAAGTAATTACATTTTGCCAATCAAAGTGCTTGAGAAAATTGATACTTTGATAGTATGTGTGTTGAATTCCTATGGGGGCATAAAATTCACCTGGTATCTTGGTCTTCTATCTGCCAGGATCTGGAGCATGGAGGACTTGGAGTTTTTTCCGCAAAGGTATGGAATTATGCTTCTGCTGCTAAACTCCTATGGTTGATTCATCTCAAAAAAGACATACTTTGGATCAAATGGGTGCATGGAAACTATCTAAGGCAAAATAACATTTGGCAAGTTCAATTAAAAGATAATGATTCATGGATGTGGAAGCAATTACTAAGAGTGAGGGATTTGTTGATAGGAAAATTTGGAAATGTTGATAATCTTCTAAATGTTGTTGCTGGATGTTGTGTCAATGATTCAGTTAGTATCTCTTCAGTTTACAGGAAGATAAATCAGCAAGCTCCTCCTACTATTCTGTCTGAAACTATTTGGGGAGGATGACATTATCCTAAGCACTCCTTTATATTGTGGTTAGCCTCTCTTTCCAGGCTGTTAACACAAAATAGACTGTGTAGAATGAGATTATTAAATACCAGCCAATGTGTTCTATGCTCCAATCAGATGGAAACCTGTGAGCACCTCTATTTTGAATGCCGATACTCTGCAACTGTTTGGAATAAGATCATGGATTGGCTTGGCTATAGATGGAAAATTTGCAAGTGGAATCAATTAACAGCATGGTATGGTAATCTAAAAGGGATTGGATTTAAGAAAAAAATTGAAGAGGATGGCTTTGTCGGCAGCTGTCTATCTAATATGGCAGGAGAGGAACCTCAGATTATTCCAGCACAAAGCTAGAGACCCTGATAAGCTTTTTCGTGTAGTCAAGATTACAATTTATGAAAAAATTTTGAATGATAACATCCCAAATCATGTTAGGGACTATATAGAGAGCTTATAGGTTGTTAAGTCTGGGTTTTTTTCTACCAGACTTCTTGATGTCAAAGAGTGACACTGATGTACTGTTAAATTTTCCATACTTGGTATAATGAATACATTTTTTCATTGACCAAAAAAAACATGTGTAAAGAGCCAAAAAAAAGTAGATTGTCATTAAAGGAACCAAAGATTAAAAAAGAAACCAAGAAAATAGTATATTTTCAGAAAAAATAGAAGAAAAAAGCATACATTTACAGCTGCCCAGAGTTGTGGTCGCCGGTGGCTTCTCTAAAATTGCCGGTGGCGTCACCGTTGGTCACCGGAGATGGGAGAAAGGGAGTGGCGAGCAGTCGAAATGAGAGAGAGAGGGAGGGAGGGAGGGAGGGGGAGAGAGAGAGAGGGAGAGAGAGAGAGAGAGAGAGAGAGAGAGAGAGAGAGAGGCAGAAAAATAAAAGCAAAACCCTAAAGAATCAATTGGGTTTCAGAAAATATCAGGTTTGATACCCAAAACCTAGTTCAAAAAACCATTTCTGGGGCGCATGCTTTGGTGCGCCCCACCTCAGGCGCAATGCGCTCATGAGACGCAAGGAAGGCACGCGCCTCATGAAAGTGCAGACCGCAGAGCCCCGCCTCCGGTGCGGAGCGCAATTGCACAAACCTACATCACCTAGTGCATCGGGCATGCCCAGGACGATTGCCTCAATAAGACTGGTGCTAACCATACTGAAGCAATTTCCCCATATAGATATACATATACACTAGCTAAATTTCAGAGAATATTGAAGCTTTTTGTCCTCTTCACAACTCTAAACAAGGAAGTCTTTATCTTATTAAGGCATAGCTGCTTCAAAAATCTTAATGCCAATCCCTCAAAATAATAACAAATAAATAAATAAACAATCCTACTATGCATTTGAATCTATCGTGACTTATTCTATTTCTTTTGCTTTCTACAATTAGAGTTGCATAACAATTTCAAATATTGATCCATACAGACACTAATACATGACTTGGCTATCAACAATGAATCAAAATTCAGAAAAGACGATCATGTAACAAAAGAAAAGCACACAACTGCTTATGTTTTAATAAAGGGTTTTTCCTGGAAACCATCTTTAAGATAAGGTCATTCTACAGAAACTACTTTTTATTTGCCAATTTATACGTAAACCACCTTTAAAGGATTTTTTGTTGAAAATCAACCATCTGAGTCCATTTTACAGTTATGTTTTCTCTGTAATTGACCCATCTAACCTCAATTAAGGATCATCTTTCTACTATACTAGGAATTTGATAGCTAATTATTACAGCAAAACAAAAAAAACTTAACTGAAAAGTGATTCAAGGTGGTTAGTAGTTTAAAGGTGGTTTATGCATAAATTTACAATGAAAGGTGGTTTTTTAGAATGGCCCTATTTTAATGGTGGTAACTATGAAAAAAAAACCCTTTAATATATAACTAACTATCCCCCATATGTTGTTGACATGTAGAATGGAAATGATACGAGGAAAGCAAAAAGGTAATGATGGTTTAAGTAGAGATGTTAAATGGGTGGGTATGGGTTTAAATGGGCGGGCCATAAATGGGCGGGCAGGTTTTGCCCATTTACCCATTTATAGCCCATTTAACATTATTTAAATGGGCGGGTTTTTACCCGCCCATTTAATAAACGGGTCGCCCATTTGCCCATTTAACTATAGTACATATATATGTATAATACTTTTGGGGTGTTTTTTGTAAACTTTTAGGGTTTTTTTTGTAAACTATTGTGGGCTTTTTGCAAACTTTTTGGGAGCTTTTTGCAAACTTGTTGGGGCTTTTGATAAAATACTAACAAAGATAGGAACATAAACAAAGAAAAACAAATACAGACAAATTCATGATTGAACCATTTACAAGCCTGGATAAAAGTACAGACCTCACACATTTGCAAAATTAACCTCAAATTTCCAAACCAAAAACCTAAAGATCAATAACAAAAAAATTGCGAGTATATTTAAATGAATTAAGATAGAAAACACAAGGTATGCAAGGATCTGTATAAGATCAATAACTTGATATAAACGCCATCATAACTATCAGCAACACGATCACGATTAGTAAGGACAATCTACTTAATTACTTGATAAACTAGAAGAGTAGTAAGTTCGTCTATAAACAAAATAGTAGCACAACCATAGTCTACTTATTTCTCATCTTTCAAATGTTCAGGCATGAACAGGATCATGACAGAAGAAAGAAAAGACCAGGAAACAAAGATCAAAAGGGAGGGATTTATGGCCCATTCAGCAGCTTCAGCAACTTCAGCAGCAGCAGCAGCAGCACGATTAAAATTTATATGACTGTGCATGAAATGTTGTGCACTAACCACAGAGTTACCGTGGAACGACTTCTGTAAAACTATGACAATAACCGTGACCCAGAACATGTCCAAATCAAGATAGGTGCATCGTCTAGTCGATGCTATAATAGTAAATAGCCAAGGAAAAATCTCATATCGGGATGTCGATATCGAGAACATAGCCATGCTATGAAAGCACGCTTATAAATCATATTTTTAACCGAAGTCGTCTTCATGCACAGTCTCTCCTATTGGAAGACAAAGGTTGGTCAATCAACAACATTTTCCATAGGATCATGCATGTCAAAGCAAAGTATCAAACCAGATAAATAGTATATGTATACACCGAGTTTTTATCTAACCATGATATTTCAGACACACCATAGGAAACCGACATGCCATTCATACCTAGTTTACACTTAGCAATTATTTCTAGTGAGCTTTTATCATTTAAGACAAAGTTTATTAATATACTCAAACCGCTTAGAGCTCTAAGTCACTAAGCTCTGGCAAGACACTAAAGTGAAGCAACTAATATAAATTGATTAATGCACTTGACCAACTTGGCGTGTGCTTTTATAAATACATATTGTACCAGGTGAACACTGTAGAACTACAATAACTAACCTACACATGGATGCGGTCACTTCATGTGTATTATTAAACACATAACTACAGTGGTGAGACCTAACCGTGCCTTGTACATTGTATAATTTAAAACCTTATTACTGCACGTGGCACTTCTTTATATGTCTGCTGAAAGCCTATCTACTTGTTATAAAATTTAAAACTGTGCACATATTTGTGATGCTATTGTTTGCCTCGGCTATGAACTATATGAAATATATAATGAATGGCTAAGTTATAAATCAAGGAAAAACCCCACAAGAATTTTAACTAAGAAAAATCCTAAGATGCAAGGAAAAATGTTGGCATGAAGAAAAAAAAATTTTATATAAAAAAAAGAACTTTGAGGAAGGATGCTTGCATAATAATAATGAGAACGAATTCAACAAAGAGCAAGACAAAAATGCTTGCCGTCGAGAGGGTGATGGCGATGTTTGGGGACGGCGATGACGACAGTTGTCATCACTGAGAGGCTCAACGGGTTCGACAGGGGCTGTTGGTGTGCGGTTCTACAACTGGATCTTCGTTGGCATATCGTCGAACATGTGGCGTGCGATGGAGGCATTGATCGGGTGGTGCTAACGTCGGCTCGGTGTGGCGTCGGAGGCTGCAACATCACTGAGGTGTTGACAAAGGCGGAGACGAGGCGCTGGTCGTCAGAGCTCGTCGGAAGCGGCTGACGGTGGGGGGACTGGCGGCGCAAGCTTGGAGGTGGTGGGAGGTTGACGAGGAGGAGGTCAGAGAAGATGAGTTCGTGGTCGCGGAGGAGCAGGGGAGGGCGCGGTTGTGGTGGAGGTTCGCCGGCGACGCGGTGCGAGGAGCTCGCGGCTGCACCGGTTGGAGAAGGGGGCTGATGGATGTTGGGTTCGTTTGAGAGAGATGAAGGGAGGAAGAAGGAGCACGTGGGAGGGGGTTAGGATGAATAATTGGTTTGAGGTGGCGTGAATAACGAGGAGAGGAGGGCTGTTGTACGTTGATTAATATAGGAGAGTTGGGGTTGCTGTGTGATATTAAAATAAGAGAGATTAAGACCAGGCGTGGGTTATGGGAGAAAACGTGGGAATAAAGGTTGAGGGAATCAGGGGAATATCCAACGAAAAATCATGAGGAAATTAAGGAGAGGGAAATGATTATGGAGTAAAAAGGAATGAAATAAATATGGAAGAGAGAGATTTTATCACGGGAATCAAGTGGGCTAGTATGGTATGAGAATAAACTTGATTATGAGGTGATTGAAGAGTGATTAGGGGATTGATTGGAAAAGAATTTGGAAGGAATTCAAATTCAAATTAGAGGAAATTAAGAGGGAGAAGATTATGACATATATTTGCAAGATATTCAGAATAATAATATAACAACTAAATTTTCATATATGTGTATATGTACTAATGGACTAAGCTCAAATTTACATAAATTTTTTTTTTCTAATAGTATCAATAGTTAAAATAATTATTTAAAATATTCATTATAGCTATTAATATTTCACAGAATTAATACTTTCAGGACTATATATTTTATTATTTATTTATTTTGAAAACTCAGAAAATTCCAGAAATTAGGAAAAGTATTAATATAATATAATATTTTAAATACTAGAAAAATTTATTTAATTACGTATCAAAATTTACGGTTGTTACACCGTTTAATGGGATGGGTTCACCCACTCAGCATTTGATTTACTTCAAATCACACCTGGGGGTTATTTCTGGTAATGAGCCTCTGATGGTACGGTCCTTCGTTGGCACTCTTCGTGGAGCTGCTTTCGATTGGTATCACCGCCTCAAGCCAGGAAGCATGAATAGCTGGGATGACATGGAGACTAAATTCCTCGCTAACTTCTTCAATGACGACACCGAGATATCCATCGGGTCGTTGCTTGACGAGAAGCAAAAAGACGGAGAATTGGTTGATACCTTCGTCAAAAGGTTCCGGAACAAGGCGATGAACTGTCGGGACACATATTTTAGACCAGTTATAGCAGTTTATTTTAGTATGTACAATTGTAATTGCGATACAAATTGGAACTCAAAGAAAAAAATCGTTTGCACGCAACAATTTATACGTGTATGAACGTCAATTGCAGCTGTAACTTCTCAAAAATAAATAGAAATAAATTGTAATTCCACTCACAATCCACTCCCAACAAAAGTTCTAAAAACATGACATTCCCAAAGAACACATACAAATTATTTTTTAATTTTGATCAAATGTTGTAGCTAATCAAACTTTCCAATTGCAACCTCAGCAACAGCCGCAGCAACAAGCACCACAACAATCTCGGGGGAAATGGCAACAACGGCCCCAGAAGCATAAATCTTCGGAGCCAAGATTTCATAAAGTGTACTCCTTCAAAGATGACGAAGTTCCCGGCATCTTTAAATACCTGTTGGAGAATAACAAAATCCAGTTGTCGGCGATCGTGGATCAAGAAGGGGCTAGCAAAGTGACGGATCCAAAGTACTGCGCATACCATAGAGCGGGAGGAGGAGGGAAGCCGCCAGAGAGAAAGAGGAAGAGATTGACGGGGGGGCAAATGGGCATTTTTTGGATCCTATATTTAGTTTTTCTTCTGGGAACGCGGGCGGGCAAATGGGCACATATACACCGCCCATTTAGTACCCGTTTAGTGTGGATTAAAATGAACCCGCCCAATTAGACCCTTTTAACTAAATGGGTGGGTTTTGGACGGGCTACGTGGTAGGCGGGCTGGGTGGGTAAATGGGTATGGGCAGAAATTGCCTTCCCTAGGTTTAAGGAATGATGAACATGAGCATGGTACAACTACGTGCGACATCTAATCAAGGAATCTCTCAGCTCAAAAGAGCTGAACAACTGTCTTCCGGTAAGAAACCAATTAATATACAAATTTTGCCTGATGTCAAGGGTTCCAGTTTGGAAGTAAATGATTCTCACTCACGTTCTTAGCAGGGGGTTTTGTTATTCTTGAGGTTGGATATCTTTTCTAAACTTCAGGAGCAGAATCCCCCAAACCCCCCCCCCCCCCACCCCTCCCCCCCACCCCACCAAACACACACACAAAAAAAAAACCTCCCCCCTTTCCCGCATAGCAACTGAAAGATTCCCTATTGTCATACTTAGTCAACAAAACTGATAAGCAAAAGTCAATAAGCAGTGTCAGATAAATGACACATTAAAAGAAGTAGTTATATGGAAAGAGAAAATGCATTCTGATTGCAAAAGCTACATTTTGATTTAAAAAAAAGTATTGGAACATTTAATATCACCAAGATATTGCTTATGTTTCAGTCTGAAGACTCAAAAGTTAAAGTATCACAGAAACACAGTAAGAAGATGCAAGGAAATATAAACAAAAGAAACATAGCCCAAACTCACCTACATTTCTTTATAAACTCCAATCAAATTGAATCATCGATTATTGTCATTCTCTACTTCGTCAGAATCTGAGTCACTTGCATTATAACCTAGTAAAAATTTGTAAAGACAAACAGTAATCAGACCCCAAAAAAAAACACTGCTAGCAATGTAAGTGTTGCCTCCCTAAGGAAATAGGATAATCAAACTTTGTGCTGTCATGTTCTATTTATAATTAATAAGTTTCTAATGCAACTATGAGAGAGATAGCAAACCTGGTCTTTTTTTGCTGACTTTCCATACTGAAGGTCGATACTTTGACACTTTGCTAATCCAAGCCTTCGCCTGAATGACAAAAATGTTCCAAATTGAAATAACCAAAAACTTGCTGGAAGAAATTGCAAAACCAGTGGGGAGAAACAGGAGAATCCACTCGTGTAAAAAAATACATGATGAAATAAAAAGTATATAAAATGTCATGGCACCATGCACATGAAAGAAATTTTCTGAACATAGATATCACCAAAATAGTCATCCTGCATAATTATATCCTTTAAACAAAGAGGAAAAAAAAATCTGAATGGTAAAAAAGTAATACGAAGTTGATAAAGGTAAAAAAGTTGCTCTATCACAGTCCATATACATAGTTTGCAAACAGAGCCTAAATATAATTCTGAAAAAAGAGTACACATGTCCTAAAGGAAACCCACCTTCCAGCCTACATGAACAAAACGGGGAACAAAATTATGTATGTACACTTCATAAAGGAAAATAATGCTCCCTGACTATCCTTCCCTTACCCTTCTTTCACATTCTCTCTATCTTCCCATTTTTGGCCCTTCTACAATTTTACCCAATAGTACTCAGCCAGAGAAAAGATAGCCATTAGATATCCCTACGAACAAAAATCAAAAACATCGTAAGGGAAAAGTTTATACGCCTCATAAACGAAAACAATGTGTGCTTCCTCTCTCAAGTCTTAATAGAGATGGAAAGTTTTTACTTTTTCCCCCATTTGTATCCAATAATATCAAGCGCAAAATATCATGAGATAAACAGTGCACAAAGGAAAAAGGGAAAAAGAAACAAGGGTACATATGCCTGTTGCGCGCAGCGGAAATTTCGGCAGCACTTCGGCAGCACAACAAGAGAGTCAGGTCGCAATAAGAATTCTCGTCTCACCAAGGAAACAAGAATCTGAAGCGGATATCTCAACCAAGTGAGATATCGGCTCTTCCTCTCATCAGTTCTAGGACTGACCTGTCGAGGGATCCTAAAAGCTTTTACAAATCACACAAATAGCAGTACAACCAATTTTTACGTGGTTCGGCAAATTGCCTACGTCCACGGGGCAAGGAGGGGGAGATCTACTAATAGAGGGAGAGATTACAACTAGGGTTTACAATCACTCACAAACTAAACCCTCAAACAAACTCTCAAATCCCTCACAAAATCTCTCTACAAAAGAATGCACAAAACCCTAAAGAAGGGACTAAATTAAACCTCCTGCGCACCCTTTTCTCCTCTGCAGCCGCAAACAAGTCCGTGCACTCTGTCCTTGCTTTTTCTGCAGCAGCCACGAATTTCCCCCTGCCTGCTCACCCAAAAAACTTAAGGAGAAATCACAAATATATATATATGAATTCGGGTGGGCCTTGGTAAGTCACGTGGGCTAGGGAGTTGTCCGCTGGCTTTTTGTCCGCTGGATGCTTCATTCACGCGGATTCTTTTCCAGCTCGTGGTCCCCACAATAAATGCGTTCACACAAGAAGAACCAAACACGAGTGCAATTCACAAATCAACGGTGTCCCACTTGTTGTGTCCAGTACGAACTCAATCCACAACAAGTCGAGAACCCGAACGAGAGTCCAAACAATCTCACCCCCATCAAAATCAACTAATCCAAACCGGCTGCATCGTAAAGACTGCCTATGTATCCTCTTGCCCAAGGAATCAAGCCGAACATAGTTCACTCAAATGGCCGCCATCGGCCTCAACAATCACGAATATGCAACAAGTTTCGACAATGATCAAACTTGTTGCTCGGAACCACCTTAGTGAGCATATCCGCTGGATTATCCTTCGTGTGGACTTTCACAATTTCCACATCGCCATCTTCAAGAACATCCCGAACGAAGTGATAACGAACATCAATGTGCTTCGTCCGCGCATGAAGTAAACACATACCCTGTCGTAGACCGGCGCTTATCCAAATCCCCAGCATAATCCGAATCAACATAACAAATGCATAACTGCCCACCTTTAGTGTCCCGCTCATAAACCAAACTAACATTGAGCGTACCTCGAATGTACCTTAAAATCCATTTCACGGCGTCCCAATGACCCACTCCTGGATCGTGCATGTATCTCGATACCATGCTTACCGCCTGTGATAAATCTGGTCTCGTACATACCATCGCGTACATCAAGCTCCCAACCGCGCTCGCATATGGAGTCTTCGACATCAACTCACGATCTTCAACTGACTTTGGTGAAAGACCAGCTGAAAGCTTCAAATGGGCTCCCAAAGGTACACCAACTGGCTTTGTATCCATGCTAACATGGAATCGCTGTAGAACTTTCTTCAAATAAGCCACCTGTGTCAAACAAATTCTGCCCTTCTTCTTGTCTCTGCCGATCTCCATCCCTAAAATGCGCTTCGCTTCACCCAAGTCCTTCATCTCAAACTCATTTGAAAGTTGAACTTTCAATTCATCTATAGCCGACCTGGAAATAGAGGCAACCAACATGTCATCGACATAGAGCAACAAATAAATATACGCACCTCCTTTCAACTTGCGAAAATACACGTAAGGATCAAACTGGCTCCGAGTGTACGAATGACCAATCATAAAACCATCGAATCGCCTATACCACTGTCGAGGAGACTGCTTCAAACCGTATAGCGATTTCTTCAGTTTGCAAACTAATTTTTCCTTCCTTGCAGCTCGGAATCCCAATGGCTGAGTCATATATATTTCTTCATCAAGATCACCATGAAGAAATGTCGTCTTCACATCTAACTGATCTAACTCTAATCCATATTGTGCCACCAAAGCTAGCAAAATCCGAATCGAAGAGTGCTTCACCACCGGAGAGAAAACCTCATTATAATCTATTCCTTCCTCTTGTGCATAGCCCTTCGCAACCAACCTAGCCTTGAATCTCAACGGAGTGCCTTCAATGCCCTCCTTCTTCGTGTATACCCAAATTGCCTTCCGCCCCTTTGGAAGCTTAACAAGCTCCCATGTATCGTTCTTATGAAGAGATTCCATCTCCTCCTGCATAGCCACCTGCCACGAATCAGCCTCCGAACTCTGCTCGGCCTCTCTGAATGTAGTAGGCACCAACTCATCGATACTCTCCACCGGAAGTGCATACGCAACTGTGTCGGCATACCGTGCTGGCATCTGTATGTTTCTCCTCTGTCTCCGAGCCGCAATCGAATCCTGAACCTGAGCCGTCGGTTCCTGATCCTGCACATTTGTACTCGTATCCTCCGTGTCACCGTCGTGCTCGCCTGGCGTCACCTCAGTCGGCACCTGCATGGATACTGTACCATCTGGACAATGTGAAGCTGCATCGATCTTCACCACCTGCGATATCTCCTCTGTCGGGTCGCTCTCCACCTGATGAGAGCTGGAAAGCTTCAAGATAGAAGCTTCATCAAACGTGACGTCCCTACTCAGCACAATCTTCTTATCAATTGGATTCCAAAGCTTGTATCCCTTGACACCACGCTTGAATCCTACAAATATGGCCTTCCTAGCTCGAGGTTCTAATTTATCAGTTTTAACATGATAATATGCAGGGCACCCAAATACATTAAGCTGGTCATAATCGTGTGCTGGCTTTCCCAACCACTTCTCCATAAGGGTCTTCCCCTCAATCGCAGATGAAGGCAGCCTATTAATGAGGTGACTCGCATACGTAAGTGCCTCAGCCCAAAAGATCTTCTCCAAACCACTCTGCGATAATAAGCATCGGATCTTCTCCAGTAAAGACCGATTCAACCTCTCTGTCACCTCATTTTGCTGCGGTGTATGACTAACTATGAAGTGTCTCTCTATGCCATCGTCTCGACATAGCTGCTGAAAGGGGTCAGAAGTATACTCACCACCGTTGTCGGATCGCAACGTCTTGATCTTTCTCCCAGTCTACAGTTCTAATCTCTTCTTCCACTCCACAAACAAATCTAGGACTTCACTCTTCTTCGTCATGGTGTACACCCAACAACGCCTAGAATAGTCATCTACAAAAGTGACGAACCAATGTCTACCACCAAGTGATGCAGTCTTGGTGGGACCCCAAACGTCTGTGTGCACGTAGTCCAGGATGCCCCTCGTCTGATGAATGGCAGTCCCGAACTTCACCTTCGTTTTCTTGCCAAGAACACAGTGCTCACAGAACTCAATCTTTCCACTCTTGGCTCCCTTCAATAGTCCCTGCTTGCACAATGCCTGCAGTGACTTTTCACCTGTGTGCCCCAACCTATAGTGCCGAAGTCTGCTCATGTCCGCTTCTGAAATAGCCGAAGCAACCTGGCCAATCTCGGTGCTTCCCTTCAGATAATACAAATTTTGATTGCGGACTCCCCTCATCACCACCAATGATCCCTTAGTAACTTTCGCTACAGCGTTTTCGAAAGTCACCTTGAATCCCTTCGCCTCCAAAGCTCCAACTGAGATAAGATTTTTCTTCAGTTGAGGAACAAATCTCACCACCTTCAACTCATGGACTACTCCATTGTGCATCCTAATCCGCACGGTACCTATCCCACAAACGCCACAGGATTGATCATTTCCCATGACAACAACACCCCCGTCGACTTTCTCAAAAGATGCAAACCAGTCTCGCCTAGGGGTCACATGAAAAGTAGCGCCGGAATCAAGCATCCAATCTGATGCATCCACATGGTTCACCTCCGGAGTAATCAGTAGAGAAAAGCACGAATCATCGGAATCATCGCCTTTCGCAATATTCACCTCATTGGCCTTTGGGCCATTTTTCTTGCCATTCTCTTTCTCCTTGAGCTTCGGGCAGTCTCTCTTCCAATATCCCTGTTCCTTGCAGAATGCACATTGGTTCTTTGCTAATTGGTGGCGGCTTCTTGACTTTGACCTTCCTCTATTACCACCTTTCGGATATGGACTTCTACCTCTCGTCGACAAGGCCTCTCCTGAAATACTAGCGCGGGAAGTCTCCTTATCCTTCCTCCTCAAATCGTAGTTCGTCAAAGCGTTAGTCACTTCACTATAGCTGATAGAAGATCTCCCGTTCAACAAAGTGAGCACGAAGGTATCATACTCCTCATCCGGTAAGGAGCCCAATAAAATAATCACCTTGTACTCATCTGATATCTTTTCATCAACATTTGTCAAGTCCGACAACTTAGTATAGTTGTTCACATGAGCTGCTAGCGAGGTACCTCTGGACATATGAAATCTGAAGAGTCTTCGCAGCAAGTGCAACCTGTTCTCAACACTCTTTGTGAGATACTTATTGTTGAGAATTTCCCACATCTTCATTGCAGACGTCACCCCAATCACACCATATTTCAGTTCCTGTTCCAACAGGACCTGATCACCCCCACAAGCGTTCCTATTCATCTTCTCCCATACCGCCTCTTCATATTTAGGTGGCTTTTCATGGACCATGATGGTCTCTTCCAAATTCTGAGCATTGAGCGCATCCTGTACGTCGCTCATCCACAAATCAAAGTTGATTTTACCGTCATACTTCACCATACTAATTTTAGTGTTCTGAAAACCAACTTGTATTGTACTCACCATCGATTTGCTGCTTTCACCTTCTTCCTCCCATTGCGAACTAACTCCAAATTGTAGAGAAAGAACAAATTTGATAGAATTAGGAACCACCCAACTGAACCCTAGATCGGATTCTAAATAGATCTCCTATCCACACGAGGAAAGTGAAATCTCCAACGGCAACTCCTAATGCTATCTCCACCGAAGCCGAGAACTCCAAGAACTAAGCTTCACACAAGAATCTTCCTCCACCAAAAAAACCCTAGATCTGAAATCTGGGCTCTGATACCACTTGTTGCGCACAGCGAAAATTTCGGCAGCACTTCGACAGCACAACAAGAGAGTCAGGTCGCAATAAGAATTCCTGTCGCACCAAGGAAACAAGAATCTGAAGCGGATATCTCAACCAAGTGAGATATCGGCTCTTCCTCTCATCAGTTCTAGGACTGACCTGTCGAGGGATCCTAAAAGCTATTACAAATCACACAAATAGCAGTACAACCAATTTTTACGTGGTTCCCCTCAAACAAACTCTCAAATCCCTCACAAAATCTCTCTACAAAAGAATGCACAAAACCCTAAAGAAGGGACCAAATTAAACCTCCTGCGCACCCTTTTCTCCTCTGCAGCCGCAAACAAGTCCGTGCACTCTGTCCTTGCTTTTTCTGCCGCAGCCACGAATTTCCCCCTGCCTGCTCACCCAAAAAACCTAAGGAGAAATCACAAATATATATATATATATATATGAATTCGGGTGGGCCTTGGTAAGTCACGTGGGCTAGGGAGTTGTCCGCTGGCTTTTTGTCCGCTGGATGCTTCATTCACGCGGATTCTTTTCCAGCTCGTGGTCCCCACAATAAATGCGTTCACACAAGAAGAACCACCACACACACAACTAAACAACAAGGAGAACTTGTAGATAACTGCCCTTATCTATACTTTCGTCTATGACTTCCTAGCTCTCAACTATCTTGATAGCACTTATCGCACGTAGATTCGCATTTTGAGAAGGATGAATACGATGGGAGCGATAAGTCCAGTAAGTGCTAAGAAACGAGTCGAGGGGTGATTTGTTCTACTGAAGGTATAAATTTTGGGAGCAAAAAACAAAAGAATTGCCTGCTAATTTTTAGGTCTTACTGTTTTGCCTTTTCCACAAATTTTACAAAAAAATTAACCTTCATAGAACATCTTGACAGTTGACAGATATAAATTTCCAAACTTTTCTTTTGCAGTCCTTTTCTAGAGGAATTTTCAGTTCATTATCTCAATATGTCACAACATTGTTGATAAAATGCATGCAACTTTAGGGTTTGGGGTTCAGCAAAACCTAATATCAACCAATCGACAACAAGACCCCAACCAAAGATCTCACCTTTGGCTCGTTCTTCCGCAACCGTAAGCCATGATAGTACATCTGGCCCACCAGACCAGCGCATCGCCTGTCCCTCCCTTCGCCTCCCTCAGCGCGTCCTCTGGAACCACCTACGGATGCAGTCGGCGACGACGGAGGGAGCGCCCTGCCCGCGGCCATCTAGGAAGACGCTGGGGTCGCATGGAAGTGGGCCCCGCCAGCTTCTGCAGTTGAGGTGGAGCTTCGAGGGAGGAGGAGGCGAGCGTTTTGGCAGGCTGAGGGTTTGCTGTGTTTACATCGCTCGGAGGCGATGCGTCGGCCGTACGATTTGAGGTCGGGCGACGGCGGCGGCGAAGAGGAGGGGATGCGTTTGCCCATACATATAAAGGAAGAGCAAGTGCGAGAGCCCTTGGCTGCCAAGGAACTACTTTAGTTGAGAGAAAAAGTGACTAATATTTTTATGGGTGGCACTAGGGGCACACCCCCAACCACAATATCAACCACCCCCCTTATTTGCTATAGTACATCGGGCTTCACATGAGGATTTAAATTTTTAAAATCCCATGTGGGACCCGGTGTACTGTAGCGAATGAGAGGGGGTGTGGTTGAGGTTGTGGTTGGGGGTGTGCCCCTATCATTTTCCTATTTTTATGCTGCGTCTGGTAACTTGGATTTAGTTAGGGGTCGGCGTGGACCGGGCCGGTTCAGGCTCATGACCTTACTCGTGAGGTTTGGGACCTGGTCGAGTCTAATATGGGCCTGTACGTGTCATAATAGGTCGGGCTTGTTTCTTTGATTTTGGGTTTAGAACTGGACCCAGCCCATGATTCGATTCGCTTGAACGGGATATGAGCATATGATTTGATGTTGGTGGCGGCGGAGTAGGAGGGGATGCATTTGCTCACATATAAAGGAAGAGTGAGTGCGAGAGTCCTCGGTTGCCAATGAACTACTTAGATTTGGGAGAATAAATCACCAAGGCCCTTTTTGGACACAGGTTAGCGGAAGAGTTAAGGGGGTTTAATCCCCTCCTCAGTAACGTTACGAATAACAAAATTTTCAAAAGGGTTTGTTAACCCTCACGTGATGAAACATCTAAGGTTAAACCATGTAATGGCAGGTTTGGTCGTGATCTTCGCGACTAAAACCCCAGATTAGAGCTACTACTCTCGATGTAACCTCCATCTATTGTGGTTTATATTCTCTGAAGATTATTTTAACTAATTGTTTCTAATTTTTTGAAGATTTTTTTGGTGATTTTGATCGATTTTTATCGAGCAAATAGTGCTTTTCTCATCTCAAAGCTACATCCTTTTTTCTTTTCATTTTATTGAGAAAATTTTGTTTTTATTTTATTGTGATTTTGATTTATTTTTTGACTGTGGTAGCCAAACTCATTTTTAATTTGCACTTTAGTTAGGTGGTTAATTATTGTATTCAAATTAAAGAAAGAAATAATCGTTTTGTTATAAATAAGATGGAAATATATGACATTTTCTGTGTAGGAAAACTTCGATTTGCTTGCAGTAGACCTTACACGTGACTTTTGTTTTTTATACACAACATCTGGATTTAGGGCTGATTTTGAAGAGCTTAGGGTCCCTAGATCTCCTTTGATGGCTGATCTCCTGCTAGGAAGAGAATCCTGTACATATGCAACATGTTAGAGGACTAAAGTTGGGTTCTCTCATGATTCCTCTAATGATCAGGTTAGTTATGATCTGAACAGGAGAAAAGAACTGATATAGTTCTCTCTAAGTGTGCAGAAATTGCGTACCTTTAATTTAGTCGGTAGATGATGTGCCTATTTATATCGACCCAACGAGGGTATTTATGTAATCTTAGCCGAGTCCATGTAGTGAGCTTAGTCAGCTGATATCTTTACAGGTGTTGAAAATAGGGGTTTGAGTCACCTTTGTGATTAATGCGACGGTGACAAAGGGTTCCAGGTGCTGACATGGTCTGATGAGTCATTAAGACTTCGATGGTGGTGCAATGATGACTCTGACCGTGTATTTAATGCAATAATGATTGCCTGTCATTTAATAAGTGTGAGGAACACTGCCTTATGTCTCGGCTTTCGAGGGAGATAAGAAGTGACGCATTTTATCTCGACCCTATAGGGAGACGAGAAGGGACGCCTTTAATCTCGGCCTTCGAGAGAGAAAAAAGTTATTGTGTCTAGGTTGAGTTAGTGTGTAGTCTGCTTAAGACACATGTCAGCTAGTTGAATGTGATTAACAGTTGCTCATTTCTATGGCACAACATTTACTATTTGGGACATGCCTATTTTAGAACTTTAGTTTGAAAGTAAATATAATATGTATAGAATATATACTGTTGTAGGACATGCTAGACTTTTTTTTTCTAGGTATGTATATGGATGTGATTGCTCAACCTGTTTATCACTGATGTGAGTCGGGTTGAATCCGGGCTTTACCCTAACCCCGGCTAATCCTTCCCCATACCGTCTAATTCCAACATCTGCCAAAAAATAAAAGGAGAAGTGCACTGCACCTTTCCCATCCTAATGAGTATCAAACTTTAGTCAAACTGTAGATGATAGTGTTATTGGCATTATACTTTTGTGGGGGTGCAACTTCTTGTTGGAATCTGTCGTGCTATGTCTACTAATAACCTATATCTATGGAAAGAGCAATAGCTATGTTGATGCTTTTTTTGAGAAGGAAATAATGCTATAAAATGTTGTTTTGTGCCATTTACGTTGGTTTTGGGACAAATAGTAGAGAACATATGAAAAGCTCACTTATCACGTGTAAATTAGTATGCCCTTTTAATCCTATCCAAAGTCCAAGCAGACTAAATGTCACGTATAGAGATCTCGGTTATCCCATATTATCCTATCTTTGCATCATGTAATAGCACTAGTAACAAAGTACTTGAAAGGAGACTGAAATGAAAATTTTTGTTATCTGCCTTGAAACTTGACTATTTTTCACAGAACAAGTGATAGCGCATTTTGTGCCATCAACTTTTAAATCTTTCCCATCCTCAGGAGTAGCAGCTTTAATCAAACTACGAATGATACAATTACATGCATTATAGTCTTTTTAAGGTGTAATTGTTGTGGGAAGTGTTCTGCTGTGTCCATTGGTAACCTATATCTTTGGAAAGTGAATAATGCTACAAATTTCCTTAATTTTGCGCCATTTGTGTTGGTCCTGGGACAAATAATAGAGGTTTTTTAGAGGAAATCTTCACTTGTCAGATGTATCATAGAATTCAAGATTACATGGTGTAAAAATCTTGTAGGTAATCGAAACATATATATTGACCTTCCCTAGTGATAACTTCTCAATGTTACCTAGCCCAGAGAAAATGCCAAGACCCTTTCCAACTTTGAATTCTTCAAGCTCTTCATAAAGATCCAAACTTTCATTTTCTTCACCTCACATCTTTGGTTAATTACTGTATGCTCTTTTTTGCTTATTCTTTTTGACTGAAAAAAGCAGGGTTGGATGCCCTGCTCATTTAAAGAATATTATTAAAAACCAAAACAAAGCAAAAATACATCACAACTAGATGGAGAATCACAGGGGGAGAAGCAGATAAGGAGCGGACCTATGTCGTCACCTACCAAACTAAACCCACAGCGATTCTTCGACTAGAAAACACATAAAAACATACTTACATAGCAGAGTTTGAATATAACACACTAGAAGACATGACTACTTAGTTTTTTAGAGAGATAACAAAGATAGATTTGCCTGCAAAAAGGAAGATTTGCCTACAAAGACAGATTTGCTTATTCTTTTTTGCTTATTCTTCTTTATACCATGCACTTTGAACATCAGAATTTTCGTGTTTTGTCACCACATGCATGGCTAGAATCAAATGAGAACATGTTGTTAGGAAAAGCTTGGTTTTTATGTGTATAATGAAAAGAAAGTGGATTGATATGTATGCAATAAGATTTTGTGTTTCCATATGTGAAATTAAAAGAGTGAATGTCTTCGAGCTTCAGGTTTTACATTGATTATTTTCTAGCTCATTTATCAGTATAGGACTGTAGAAACTTTGCTTATGAATTTTTACTCTGCTTTTAAACTGTGGTATAATGTGCTTGACAGGCGTATTAACAAAACCGGCTTCAGTAAGATTCACCTTCAACTCTTCTGAAAATGTATACTACAGTTAGCATTTCATTGCCCCATTCCATTCTCCTTTTTTGATACAAGTTGCTGGATTGCAAACACTGGTATATTTTTAAGAATAAATCAAAGTTACATGTTTTTTTAGATTAAACTTGATAGCTTTAGATATGGTTGCCTTTTAATCTGGATTGTCACTCCTTTTAATGTGATAGGTTAAAAATGATAAATGATGAAAGGGACTCAAGGATCTAACACAAACGTACAAGTGAAGAATTTAAGAGGAGAGAGGAGGAGGAGGAGGAGATTGTTATGATAGTGGTTCATAATTGTTGCCATCGGTGCTTGGTACCATACAAAGTACATGTTAAAGGAGAGTTCATGTGTTCTTGGTACCATACAAAGTACATGTTAAAGGAGAGTTCATGTGTTCTTGGTACCATACAAAGTACATGTTAAAGGAGAGTTCAAGAACACATGAAGAAGAGGATGAAAATGCATACCTTAGAAAGTCTTGGATTCAAACTCTTATTTGTAATACATATAAATGTATGGAACAACTAAGAATGAATCCTCAAGCTTTTAAGAGGTTATGTGATGTCTTACATAGTAGAGGGGGATTACTAGCATCAAGAAATGTCACGATTGTGGAAATTATCGCAATGTTTTTGCATATTTTAGCTCATAATGTCAAAAACAGGAAAAACAAAATAGATTTTATATGTATTACTTCTTAGCTTTTACGTTATTGTGACTGAAAAATTTTAATTTTGTAGATAAATACTTTATTGTGGATGCTGGGTATATAATTGGCCCGGGGGTTTTGCCACCTTATAGAGGGACTCACTACCATATAAAGCCTTAGAGAGAAAATGATCCAAGAAACTACAAAAAATTATTTAACCAATGTTATTCCGCTACTAGAAATACAATTGAGAGAGCATTCGGATTACTAATAAA